CTGCTGGGTGGGAGGCACCCTGGACCCACAATGTGTGTGGGGGCTCGTTGCCAGAGGCCCCAGGAGGAGGGTGGGCCATCAAAGGCAGGGGCTCATGCAGGCAGGGGGGGTTGGCACTCACTCCGGAAGAACTCGTCCTGGGCCGCCACCGTGCCCTCCATGACCTTCGGTTTGATGAGTCGGGTGCAAAGGCCGTCTGCATCTGAGGTGTAGTGCTGGGGGGGCGCAGGGCACTCAGTGGTCTGCACCACCCATAGTCCCACCTGTACCCAGGTCTGGCCACCAGAGGGCGGCAGAGGCTGGTCTTGCTCCACCTGGAGGCTGCTCGGAGGGGCAGGGGCGGGGCCGGGGCCGGGGCCTGCCCACTTCCAGCAGAGCATGGGTTAGGGAGCCGCACACACTGACACGTAGCATCCCACACCAAGGTGCTAGACAGACTCTTGGTTGTTGTCCCTACTCCTCTGGGCCTCACCAGTATCCTGAGACAGCCCTGCAGACGGACTAAGCAGGGGGCGGGGCGTGGGAGCCAGGGGTGGCCTGGGCCAGGAGGCTGGCCTGGAAGCTGAGTGGAGAAACCTGCTGATGCCCGCCCCCCAACCCAACCCAACCCAACCCAACACACACACACACACACACACACACTCTCTCACTCTGAGCTTGGTACACAAAATAGAACTGGGGTCACCCTCCCTGTCATGGCGAGGTCAGAGGTCAGTCCTGGCATGTGTCAGGTGCTCCGAAACCACGGCTCACAGAAGTTGCACAGCGTGGCCAAGGTTACCCAGTCGTTGGAGGGGCGGACGAGAGCCAGACCCTAGACGGCCGGGCAGGCCGGCCGGCATGGCCCGCTCACCTCCACCAGCTGCATGAGGTTCTCGAAGTACACCTCCTCGTCGATGCTCAGCTTGCTGGCGTGGTACATGATGCGGTAGTGCTCCACCTTGCCGTCGCAGCTCACGCACAGCGTGTAGTCCCCGGGGTAGTTGGTGCTCTCCCGCACCAAGAACAGGCCCATCTCCGG